TCAGGAATCAAATGATGATGGTCTAGGTGGTCTAGCAGATGACTTTGTTGAACCAGAAGTACCAGAAGTACCACAAAATACACCAGAAGTTGTACCCAGTCCAAGAAACTGTATGGTTTATTTAACTACTACTCCTGGTGATAATGTAGTTCAGCATATAGTTTTGCCTTGTGGTCACGCCTGGGTGTGTGAAACATGTGTTTCAGTGTTGGATGGTCAATATCCTAGAATATGCCCAGTCTGTCGAGGAGATGTACATCATTTTCAAAGAATGTTTTTATCATAAATAAAATTAATAATTAATAATTCTGTTTTGAAATGTAATAAAAGTTAATATTACCTAGTTACCTAGTTACCTGCATCATGTACCTATATTATTTACCTAGTAATTATATAATAGGTACTGACAGTGGCRTATTTTGGTTGATTTCTCGGGGGGTGTCAACATTTATTGAACCTCAAAAACAAAATGTTTAGTATTATTTATTAATGTAAAAAGACATTGAATTAATTTTTTAACAAATTAATATGTTAGGAATTGACTAGAAGTTTTACATTTGATAAAAATAGTATACTATAAAATAAGTGACAACACTAATGTCCAATATATTAGGACTTTTTTTTAAATGTCGGGGGGTGTCAAGACATGGAGGAACCCCCCCATAATATGCCATTGGGTACTGACTAGTGTTATACCTACTGTTTTATTTACTATATGTAGTTATTACTTTTTTGTATTTTGTGTTGTTTTAAACAATACCAAACTGAAAAAGAAATTCTGAGATGTGAATGAAATATAGGTATCATTATAAAAGTAATTAATTAAAGATTCTTTAGATGAAATTAATTTACTTTTAATATGATGGTTCGGGGATGACCAGTATAGTAGAAATGAGWATCTAAATCAAAACACATTTAATTTTTATATGATGAAATACAAGCCACAAGATATTAGGTACTACTAGATTTGTAAAGAATACCTATAAAAAGTGTTTTAAAACTTTTACCCTCATTAGGTAATAA